TAAATTTTTATTAAGTAATTTTTATGGAATTAATTCAAATATTTAAATACTAATTCTTCACTAAATAAATAAAAGTAATTAAAACATAATAGATTCAACGGCAATACCATTAAAGTATTGTATTTAGTATTGTATACCTTTAGATAGTATAGCCGTTCGGCTATACTCCTTAAATATAATATTTTAATAGTATCGCCGACCGGCTATACTCCAAAATACTATATTTATAATATTTTTAAGTACCACCGGTCAGCTAACAGTAGAGCCAGGCGGCTATACCCCGAAAAAGAACATTTTAAAGTATAGCTGCGCGGCTATACCTTCTAGCAAACTAAGAAAACACCTCTCCCGACGAATTTCCACCGGCACAGGTCTTTGCAGGCAAATTTTTGTAGGATTCGAGGCTTGCGAACGGTTTTGGACCAAGTTCGGATAAGTTCGAAGGCTATGGTTTTTGTTTTGAGACTTGGATTTTTGGTTTGGAGACTAAAATTCCATTTTTAGAACACTAAAAAAAATTTCTAGAATTTTCAAATAATTGAAACTATTTTAAAATAATTTTAAATTCCACAAAATTCGTTAAGATCATAAAATATAATTAATATCAGACCAAAAAAATAATAATAATTCATATTTATTAAGTCATTTTTATGAAATTAATTGAAATATTTAAATACTAATTCTTCACTAAATAAATAAAAGTAATTAAAACATAATATATTCAACGGCTATACCTTTAAAGTATTCTATTTTATATTCTATACCTTAAAATAGTATAGCCGTGTGGCTATACCCCTGAAATATAATATTTTAACAGTATAGCCGACCGGCTAAACGCCAAAATATTATATTTAGAATATTTTTACGTACAGCCTGTCGGCTAGACTCTAAAAAAATATATAACAGTAGAGCCGCACGGCTAGAATATTTTAAAGTTACCCTGCCGCAAATTAAGAAAACACTTCTCTTGACGAATTTCCGTCGACATAGGTCTATGCCGGCAAATGTTTGTCGGATTAGACTTCTGCCGATGAAATTCCGTCGGGAGAGGTTTTTTTTTTGAATTTTTAAAATATAAAATTAGTTTCATTACTTTTGTTTTTTTGGCCAACTTCTTTAATTTAATATATGTGATTAAGTAATATTTTAGCCTTTTTGAATTACTTTAATTAGTGATTACGTATTAATTATTATTTCTTTATTGAATATTTATATATGTTATTTATTTAATTCTAATGTGAATATTTGAATATTTAAATAGCCACCACAGTCTTGGTGCCCTCAACCTTATGAATCACCGAACATGCAAATGAATGACAAAAGTGTTTGATAAATCACCAAGTAAACATGGAATACTTGATGATTTATCTTAAATAAAACTCAGCTTTCCAAAATTTATGGACTGAAAATATGATCGTGAAAGCTCTCTAAACAAAGAAGACAAAGGTCTTATTTTATAGAACTTGTTCTTCTCTAGGAAGAAAAGTCCACGTCCAACACAAATTCAAGTATTTATGAATGTTTGTCATTGACTTAGCTTAGGCTCCAAGTATTTGTGTTTCCTTGCAAAGCTATGTAAATCTAGTATATATATATATAGATATCGAGTTTTTCTATTTAAACTCCATACTTTCTTAGTTCACTCATAATACTTAATCATTAAGCTCTTAATTTTATTATTGTGTAAAAAAACAAAAAAGGTCATCCAACTTAATACTTGACCCCAGTACATCTATACGCACACCCCACCACTCTTCATACTAAGTTTTAGAAAAACACAAACTCGTCTACCAGTGGCAGACTTGTGTAGGCGCAAGGAGGTGCCCTGTACCTCTAGTCGCCAAAAAACTCCATAATAGCTGCTGGAGTTGCACCTCTGCTCAGACCAGAGACGCATGTGTAGGGGACTTTTTCTTTCGGCAACTGTAAGTGGGCTGGGCTGCAGTAAATGGCAGACTGATGAAATTGTCCCCTTTGTCTGAGTTTGAAAATTAAGCCCCAAAAATGCTTCGAAAGGGAAGCAGAGCCTTATGAAGTATTTTGGTTACCTCCACCAGCCAAAACGATAGCAACTTACAGGTAATTTATACATGCTTACAGATAAACTTTTGAGCTTAGCATGAGAGGCATGTGGCATGGAAGCAAAATTAGCATGAGTTGAGCACCAAAAAGGAAATATGGCTTCCTAGGGAGAAAGAGGAGTGTTTAAGGTGAGGAAGAAGAGGTTTGCAAGCATATGTGGCTGAGAAAAGGAAAAGAAAGAACTATGTTCTTTCGGCAGCTTGCCAGAAGACGAAAATTAGGAAGGAGGGTGAATAGTGCACGAGGTTGCTGGGTTTTTGCAGGTAAGAGAGGAAGCTTGCTCTCCAGGTGTGGGTTATTTTTGTTGAGTAGAAGAGGCCTCATTTTATAGGCGCTGGAAACCATTACTTCCCAAGAACCCTAATGGCTTCTACCCATTTTGGCCAAACTTTTCCCTTCCTTTCTCATCTCCTTTCTTAACTTTCCTTATCTTAGTAACATTTCCTCTGCCTATTTGCACAAAATCAAAGATATTTTGGAGCTCAAGGCCCCTTTCCTGCGACTGTTTCAGTAGGAGATTTCCATTCACAGCCATCTTCTTCCTTTCTTTCCTCCTCTTTTCTATGGCCAGGTCTAATGGGGGAAGGAATTGGGGTATGTATGCTGGTTCGAATAGTGCTTCTCTTCCTGGCAGACCGGATGCTTATGAATTATTTTATTTCTATATTAATAGATTAATGAGATTAATTAATAGAATATTAAATCCGGTAAGAAGATAAATTCGAGCCCTTCGGTCTGTCATTATACCTCGAGAAGTAGAAAGAATTACAATCCCCATTCCGCCGACGTTAATATCTTTTGGTTTTTCTGGTGTTTTGTGCTTGGAAATTGTTCCTTCCCATGTGCTGGAGCCTTCCAACAGCTCTGCATATATGGACACTTTGCTCCCTACGTGGCTTTTGTTTCTTTTAGCAAAAAGGCTGATGCTTTTGCTGCTTCTTACCTCCAATTGTGTGGACCTTTAAAGTAGCAAGTCAACCTTCCAAACAAATGGGTTATCTTCATCTAACATTGGGCTATATGGGTTAATTTTAGTGGATCATTTTGCTTGGGCTTTTTGGTTGGACTATTTTCCCATTTTGTGCTCACCCATATGTTTGGGCCTAAGAAATGGGCTTGGGTTCCAAGGCTCCCAAGCAACCCGAAACCTCCACTTCTCGGTTCATCAATGGGCCTCATGACAATTTATTATCATCCATAGCACAACCCACTCAAGCAAGCCCCGAGCATTCGAGTGGCTTGGGCCCACTTAGGCTTGTAGCGTGGTTGGGTGTGTAATAATGATTTCCTGCTTGGCATGACATGTCGCTTGGCATGGCATATCGCTTGACATGCTTTTAATTATTATGTTTGACGAGATAATTAGCATGGATTTGCAAAGATAATGCATTTTATAATCTTAATCTCGATTCCTAGCATGACGGATTATTTATTTGGCATGGTGCGTAGAGTGTGACTCATGCATGACGGACTTTTGTGTGCTCTAAGTCGGGTTTTTTCTCAATAAGGTATTGCGCTGGGCCGAGAATTCATTTGGGCCATGCCGTTGATTTTTTGGGCCTAAACAGCATGCAATCTGTTCGATGAAATGTGCAAATGACTTACGCTACTGCGCGCTGGCTTCTTTGTTTTTAATTTTTTTTTTATTTAACAAAGCCTGGCCAAAATGACGTCGTTTTGGACTAGGCACTACTTTTTTTTCTTTTTCTTTTTTTAAAACTTGGCTGGTTTTTTAAATATATATATATATATTTATTTATTTATAATAAAAAAAAGAAAAAAAAAAGGGAAACTGCTGGGCCATTCGTGGGCTTCTAAAAGGGCTTTTATAATTCTTGCCTAATTGGGTTTTAATTGGGACTTCTCTTTATTTAATTGGGTTTTGTGAATTCATTATTTAAGTGGGATTGAGAATTCTCTTTATAAAAAAAAACAATTTTTTTTCTTCTTGAGTACGCCAATCCAAAGTAAGTCGAATGCTTTTTTTTTTTTTCTTGAGCAAACACCAATTTTGTTTATTCTTTTTTTTAATATATTTTTTTTTTCTTATTTAGCTCTCTCTGTATTAGTAAGATCAGTAGCAAATTCTTTTTTATTATTTAGCTCTCTCTGTTAATTATGAATAACATTAGTATTGTTTAAATGATAAGGATATTTAGTTTTTTTTATTTTTTAGAGCTCTTAGATTTTAAAAATTGCATCTCTGCTGAAAAATTTCTGGGTCCGCCGTTGTCCTCTACACCCTATTGCTAGATTACTCCTCTTTCAATCCAAGAAACCTACTACATTCTCATCTTCCCTTCACAAAACCTCCTAGTTAATTCTCAATGCTACTACACATTTGGACAACAGTGTTTTTATCTCTTTAAGTAACGTGAGGTTGAGGTGAGGGGTAAGATAGCGGGGTGTGGGGTGTGAGGTTGATGAGTTTTTTATTTTTTATTTTCCTCTCTGCTCAGTGTGTATTTAAGGGTAGTTTGGGAAGATAGTCGGGTTTTCTTAGAAATTGTGAAAATTTGAATTAGAAGTTGGGGTGAACTTAGAATATGGGATGAACAAAGAGAAGTGCAAGGTTTAAATAGAAAAACTCTATATATCAAGCCTTTTAGGCTAATTAAATCAATATAGAAAATTATTCCCACAATTTTATTTACCGATTTAAGAAAATGGGGGTAGCATATCCTCTCCCAAACTGATCACCCACATAGTTTGGTGTTATAATTAGTTTGTAAACAAACTAAAGAAATATTAAAAAAAGAAAATCTTCCATAGAAAAGCTAGAGATGAAAAATCTTTCATTATCAGATCATCAAGTATCTAGTTAAATTCATTACCGAAGGATGATAATAAATTTTATTCAAGTAAACACATACTGGGAAAACAAATTTAAATACATTTATTCTTGAGTTCCTTATTAATTAAAGTAGCACGGGTTCACTTTGTTTAAATATAGACGTGGAAGAGAACGTGGATGCAAATATGTCCTTGAGAAGGGGAAACTGCAGGAAAACATATAAAAGCACTGGCACACCTGCACATCCAGTTACGAGAATAGAGAAGACGTCCTTACCACAGTAAGCAATAAAAAAAGCCGAGCTAAATGTAATCATCATGGCTGTAATAGAAAAGAAGAGCAATGCGAGTCCCATTTTCAACCGCCATGATAAGGCACTAAGAAAATCTCTTTCAGCATAGCGTGAGGTGAGGATGGCCGAGAACGTTAACGTTGCAGCTAAGGCCAACAAAAATGCTATTGCATCTGAAATGATGAAAATTCGAAACGGGGCCGTTTTAACTGGATGATTTCCCATAATAACAGTAACTTCTGCCGCAAATAAAGCACTAGCGATGAGGGTTGATACGATTGTACATGATTGTGCTGTCCCGTTCATCCATGTCTGTCCATCTTTTAACAACATTGCATGTTCAGAAGTAAATAATTCTTGAGGTGTTTCGCCTTTTGAATTTTTCATCTGTATATAAGAAGGTTGAACAATCTTTTTCACCTCCTGCATATGCCAGATTGGTTGCTTAATTGCAGTGTTAACATGTATACAAAATACAATTTCAATTAGTTAACTAGACAAGTAAAATCAAGATCATGGTGAAACTTATAGAAACTTCTATGATAAATTAGTCAAGGATGCAATATCGTACGACTATGAGTATTAATTTTCTGCAGACAGTGAACAATTTTATAACAATTGGTACATTAATTTAAGGAGAGCCAAGCTTTTTCCTTAAAATAAAACTACTTAGCCGCCATTCCCCTTTGTAGACAAATCACAGTCGAACGGGTGTACATAAACTTTTCTGTTTGCAATTTAATGAGCTACTTTGCATATGTCAGACTATGATTTGTCGGCACGGAGTATGGCTCTTTATATGTAATAATTAAGCGAAGCAGTGTCCTAATTAAAACAGGAGAGAGAGAGAGAGAGAGAGAGTGAGTATGCGTGTAGTTAGGTACCTCAAACCATAATAATTCACGTCGTATTTGAAAACCTGCTCCAGCTTGTCTGTTCAGCTGACTTACCGGAGCTGATCTTGCAGCTAAATGAAGTAAAGTGCTCCCATCTTCCTTGTCTCTAAAGGTAGCTATCACATTCTTGACAATGCCTACCTCATATATTAAACTAAAGATAGTCTCATGACGATGCCAAACTGCTGCATGTATTATGGTCCATCCTTTGCTATTTCTTTCCCATACCAGACCAGGACACTCGTAAATAAGCTGAGCTACAAACTCGCAATTTCCTATTTCCATTGCGTCAAACAATAGATGCGAAGGACTTGTTAGTACATCAATTAGCGTTGCCTTTCCTTCTCTTGCAACTTCAAGCCAGAGTTGTTTGACTAAAGCTTGTTCTGGATTTTTATGTCCAAAAAAATCTGTAGTAGTAGTAATGGTGAAAGAAAGTCAGTGCTTAATTCTGTGATGAACACAAAATATGGATTTTTTTAATGGTGGCACTAATTTGCGCATGTGCACACACATACATATATATATATATATATATAGAGAGAGAGAGAGAGAGAGAGAGAGAGAGAGAGAGAGATTCAATTGAGAGATCCCTAAAATAAATACTATTTAGGGTTCCCTACAAATAATAATAATAATAATAATAAATTTCAAGAATCCAAACCGTCTATTTTTCAAGTCTTTATTAATAGATCATCCTTGCTAAAAATGAAGCAAATTGAAAATCATGGCACCTATTTGGGACTAACAAAATAGACGAACAAGGTACGTACTTCAAGAAAACACTATAATAACTATCTAATTGAATGGCCAAATGGTTTCGGATTCAAGTCATTTTTTGTAGAGATGATCTTTGAGAATATCCAAAAACTAAATGGTTTGGATCATTGAAACACAATGCATGATATATATATATATATATACAATTATTCTCTTATCCAGATGTCCGCACGTTCTTATCGTGCGGATGCTATTGTAAATAGGCAGGAAAGTAGAGAGGGGTAGTACAGCTTCCATTGAAGGATCCCTCAAATAATTTTAAATTTTATTTGAGGGATACCATTCATGGTACTATACGAATTATTTTTTAACGATCCAAACTATCTTTCAAGTCTTTATTCATAGATCATTTTTGCAAAAAATCAGACAAATTTAAAATCATTAAGGCATCTAATTGGGACCAATAAAATTAATGAACACGATACTTTATATAGTGTAAACTCACATCTTTTGAAGTTCGCACATATTCCTGGACTTCCCCGTGGATATGATGAAGGCTTTTGGGCCAATAAATGCAAGGCCGTCTTTCTATTACGATCACGTTTTAAAGCAAAATCCTTATTTTCTTCTAGCAATTTTGAGGCTAAACCTGCAAGCACTCATATGCGCATGCCACATTACTTAGGGATATTTTGATGCATATATTTTTAACTGACAATGAATATTATTCAAAATTCTGCCTCATTTTAAATGTTTATAGTGATGGATAACTTTGTTGTGGGTGTTTATATCCTTTGTAGCCATGTTTAATTAATTTATTATTTTATAAAAAAATTCACCATCAATATTGTGTGCATTTGTGTATGTAAGGGATGAGAGATTCAAACTTTGGACCTCGGATGAGAGATTCAAATTTTTAACGTTCTTCTAATAAGTGGTTTTATTTTTTACGCTCTTCTAATAAAAATATTTATGAGCATACACACTTCCTATAAAAACAGTCATAGACGAGCACCATTATTTTTTGGGCTAACTAGTAAACCTCAATCTTTATTCACCCACTTTTTCATCCACATCGTAATTTTTTTTTCTCCCTAGGCTCAAACTCCCTCCAACCGCATACGCATGACATGTGTCAACCCAAAGACTGTGAGCGTGTCTCTTTGCACTCAAGTTTGAATCACTTACTTCTTAAATTAATTTATATGTAAATTTGGCTTACATCCTTCAAATTTAATTTGTCGTACCTATAACCCTTCACTTTTTGTTCCTATAAATAATACCCAATTTGTATAAATAAAAACCCATGACTAGGATCCAGCTCAGCAAGTTACCTAATTAAGCATAAAATCTGATTTATTGTACTTTTCATATTCCAAAAATACCCCCAACTAAGCCATTATTGCATTTGGTATATTAATATAGGAATCAATATGGAAATAGTTTTAATTGGAGTGTATATAATGACAGATGTTGAATTTGGAAAGGTATTCCAAATGGTTGTAATGGATGTAGGAATTAATTTGGAAACATTTTTTTTTTAAAATTTAACAATAAATTCATATTTAGGTAATCGGTTTGTTTAATAAAAATGTTTATGTTATTTTCTTTTTATGAATTATACATGACTAATAATCTGCTTTATAATTTTTTTATGAATAGTACTGCCATACTAATTATGTTGAAAAAATAATGTTCCTATTATTTGTTTTATGAAAAATATAATTTACCTAGTATGAAAAGTGTACCTGTTTTTAATTTATAAAAAGTGTACCTAATTATCTATTCCAATATACCTACATTATACGACATCCAACATACGTACATAAATTTTAATGTACTTACGATTAGGATTTAGGTATTATATGTCATCCAATATACCTACCATTTGAATAATATACCTACTACGAAATATGTATAGGTAAATTATTATATGTAATTATGGTTTATATGTATAGCTATATATATACATATTATTTATGAACGAACATATATTATATATGTATTATGAGAATGTTTTGATTTGTTGAGTCCAAGCAACACCATAATAATGGAAAGGCTAGATATTAGGGATTGTTTAGGAAAAATCGTTGGATAACAAAAATGGCAGGGTTTTGTAAATAAGGAAAAAGAAATGGGCAACTTTTATCCTTCATGGCATCCGTTTTCAAAATTGGGTTTTGGTTGGAAGAAAATAAGTAGATGAATTTTTGTATAGACTATTAGAGTTGCAAGGGCCTATTGCATAATGACCCTTAATTTAATTTAAAATAATTTTAGATTATCGTTTGTATAAAATTGAATATAAAAAAAAAAAAATACCCTTCTAATTAAAAATCCACGCTAGGGACAGAAACGTTGGAACTTACCGTAGAGACCATTATCTATGCTTGTGAAAAATAACCTGGGCAGATCTTCTTGTGAATCTCTATATGTGGGTTCAGAATATAGATACGACACCATCTTTTGATGTCCAAACAAAGCAGCAATATAGAGTGGCGTATGTCCTTCAAAACCCCGTTGTCTTGGCAGCCCTGGATCCCTTCGCATCATAATTTTAGCAATTTTAACGTTTCCAACGGCAGCAGCTACACAAAAAGCAGTATTTCCTCTTTCGTCTAACAGTCTCAAATCAGTTAACGCCATACCCATCAACTTCTCCACAAAGCGAACATGTCCCGCTCCGGCTGCAACATGAAGTGCAGTATACGATCCCTGTGCGATATTGGCACGCACTATAGACGGCTCTTTATCTATGATCTTTTTTGCCGCTTTCCAGTCATTTTTTAGTGCAGCTCTGTACAGGGGTACACATAAATTTGGATTTTCTGCTTCTTCTGTACATAACAAGTTCAAAACACCTTAAAAGTTTATTGTTATCACCTACTGGTATCACTAGACCAAATGGTCACTGACAGTACATTTCAAATATTTTAGCTACTTGTTTCAATGATATAGGCATTCTTCAATAAGTATTTAAAGTTAAGAATTGGTTAAATATTTTTAATTTCAGCAATTGAATTGCATCTAAGAGACTACCAACATTTTTAATGAATGCAATTCAACAACAAAAATTAGAAGTATATAATCAATCCTTAACATAAAATACATATTGCATAAACTCCGGTAACAATATTTGTATCACATTTATTGACCGCTTTGCTGATTATATGTGGAATCCATCTGTAGTATTAGAGAGGTGGTCAATAGGGTCATAAATATCGTAGAAATAGCAACACTCGTTGTTTTAAATATATTATCCTATTTGGATGAAAGTAGGAATTTTCTATATATTAAACAGCACAAATAACTCTTTTACATGAGTTCTGGGCTCATGACCTTCACCAACAAAGTGAAAGCCACAAGTATTAGATCAAATAGTGATTAAAATACTAAAATATATTGTGTATTGAAAGTATTTGAAGTCACTAGCTAGAACACTTTATTTTGAATGTCTGTTGTTAAAAACAAGTAAATAAATAAATAAATAACTAAAGATTCAAGAACCTTTTTTAAGTAATGAATACATGATGCCATTGCCAAGATATATTTCTGGAAAAAATAAAAATAAATAAACTTCTATAGAAGAGGATTACTTGGTGTGGGACGCTCGTAGGAATCGAATGGATACAAATCCAATTCGATAGTTGATGGGGTTGATCCGGTTGGATTACCATTATTGCTTCCAACATTTGCTGCAGATAGAATCTCATCATATTCATTATAATATTGTTTTTCAATAATATTAAGCTACGACTATTTTTTTTTTAAAAGATAAAAACGTGCAAATGACCAACTAGTGTAATAGTTTGAAGTAATTGCTCCTCTAGGAAAAGTCATGTGTTCAAGTCTTAGCATTCGTATTGTATGTGATAGTTTAGTATATTATTGTCTCTCTCAATAAAAAAATATCATAAATAAATAAAAAGACAAAAACGTTAAATAATATTCCTTTATAATATGAAACAACGAAAATAATATTTTATGTCCAACCAAAATTCTCTATAAATAATGCTAAAATTAAAAGCCTATTAATAGGCTCATGAATGCATGTTAGGAAGCTAATTGATAATAATGTAGTAATGAAAAACCATATAACACCATCAAAACTTAATCCAACACATAAGTTTAATCAAAATACCATCTTATTTTATGATGAAAATCTATTCTTGTACAATTAAGAAGTCAATCTTGATATTTTTTTTAGTAATGAAGAGCATCCACAATGGGCTCTCTAAATCACCTCCTTAGCTAAAATTTAGGGAGGAATTGAAAAAACCTACCTCCAACCATGCTCGTTATTCAGTTCCTAAAATAGAGAAACAGCTAGGAGCTCCTAAATATGAGGAGAAAAAAATGACTCCTAGTGACTCTTCATAATTAAATGTTACTATATTTTATTATTATTTTAAGCATTTATTTAATGATGTCTTTAATTTTATCATTTTTTTTTTGCATTATATTGTTGCAAAACACAAACACTATATATTTTTCAATTCTTTTCGCTGTAGGTGTTTTGCAAACCATGAGCACTTATCTTTTTTTTTTTTCGCTATAGATATTTTGCAACACACAAGCACCTTTTAAAAAAAAATTCTTTTCCTTGTAGGTATTTTGCAAAAAACAAACACTTTAAAAAAATGTATATTCTTTTCACATGATTTCTTATTTTGACAGCATATTCTTTCAAAGCAGAAAACCATAGAATATCAAAATTGAATAACAATTAAACTTACAATTATTTGGCAATATTCATTATTTGAATATGAAATTTTATTGTAAAATGAAGAATTAAGTTTAAAAAGGAGTAAAGCATTAATGACAATTAGAAGTAAAGCATTTATGACTCTCCAAATTAGGGAGTAGGATTGGAGTTGAATTTTTTTATAGAGCTCCTAAAATAGTTTTTTTGTGTTTTTAACTAAATTTTAGCTAAGAAATAAGAATCATGATTGTGGATGCTTTTAGATGATCAAGTCAAATGCCAATAAATTTATGGTTTTTTTTTTTTGGTTACCTTTTTTTAATTGGAGCAGAGGGTTGTATAAAATAGAAGCATCGTAAAATAGTATAAAAGATAGCAAAACTATCTTAAACTCAAATATGAGAGACAGAGACAATAGCATAATCTTTATAAATAAATAAAAAATGAAAAAGGCTTACCAAGTGTTTGGCGACGAGAGGAAGGAAACTGCAAAAAGTCCCATGGGATATTAAATTCGGTTGGTCCTATTGTTGCAGATGGAATCCGAGATTCATTATTGGAAAAAAATATATTATTTAGAAAAAAAATTGGAAATAAAACTACGTCATTTTAATAAATATGTTAAATGATATTATATTTTAAAAAATAAAAATAAAAAAAACCAAACGGAAGTAAGATTTGATGTGCAACTAAAATTCTTTTGAAACCTTAACTTCCTTCACTTTATAAATAAAAATAAAAAATAAAAAATAAAAACCTAATGACAAGTGCATGTTACTGGGGTCATAATTTGGCCCATGGGCTCATCGACTAACGGTTGGCTGCCCAGCCTATCAAAGAAGCTCAGCCTGGCTTGTTGTGGGCTATGGACCGACCCCACACATTCTTTAGACTAAGGTTCTTAAAGCATAGCCCAACCCATAAGCCCAGCCCATTTGAGCTCAAAAAACACCCAACCCAGCCTACCTATAAAAGCCTAGCCCGCAAAGCCCGTATACAATAACACTTAAGTTCAATATTTAAAAAATAGGCTTAATTGCTACAGTACACCATGAAACATTGGTCAAATCCCACTTTAACCTTTAAAATTAAAGTGACCCAATTTGCCCCTTTGACCAAGGTTTGATGTTCTACATTGCCTCCTACCATCAACTTCATCCAAAAGTCCGTTAAATTTGATGATGTGGTGAGAGTGTTTCTGTAATTTTATGCACCTAGGTCATTTACTCACCAATTTGAGTGGGTGATGTGACAAAGTGGAGCCCACCTCCAGTATGCATTAAAAAAATAAAAGAACATTATTTACTTTAAAAAATTAAAATATAAACTTAAAATAAAAAAAAAAAAAAAAGAATTCTCTCTCTCTCTCTCTCTCTCTCTCTCTCTCTCTCTCTCTCTCTCTCTCTCACATTCCCCTGGCTCTGTCCAAAACCGCAACCCTTTCTTCTTCTTCTTCTTCAACATTATGAGACTTTGTAACTCACTCTCTCACACATCTCCATGGCCAACCCAACTTAAACTTTAACCCAACCCCAATTGCTCCAAACCATAATCAGCCTCTTAACCGATGCCAACCCCTTAAACCTTACATTCCTTACCTCACGCAGCCCTTCCTCCTTTCCATTCTCAACACCAAAACCCTAGCAAACAAGCCCAGTGCTCTCCTTTCATTCTTCCAATAGAACCTAGGCCCACGCTCCTTCCTTAACCTAAACCCCTCATCCTCTCCTCCAACCTCTCCTCGGCCGCCACAAGTACCCCGATGCCAAAACCCTACTCGTCCAATTCATTGCCTTCGATTGCCAAAACGATCTCCTCTGGGTTCTTTTGCACCCCGAGCTGGGTTCTGCAGGTAGGGGGCTAGAGAGATGGGTTTGGGTGGGTTACTATGGGGAAAGAGGGGAGCAGAGAAGAAATCGAGGGGAGGGGAGGGGGTGGGAAGGTTTCTGGGTTCTGCGCAGGGAGGGGACAATGGTCTGCTTGAGAAGAAATCGGGGCTGGGTTTAGGTTAATGGGTCCCAGGTTTTTTTTTCATTGACTATTTTTTTCTTCAATTGTTTCTTAAAAAATAATTTTAATGATTTAATAGAAATGAATTTTTTTATCCATGCTCGAGGTGCCACATCACTCACTCAAATTGGTGAGTAAATGACTTAAGTGCACAAAATTACTAAAACACCCTTCCCAAGTCATCAAACTTAACGAACTTTTGGATGGAGTTGATGGTAGGGGACAATGTGGAACATCAAACCTTGGTCAAACGGGCAAAGTGAGTTACTTCAACTTTAAGAGGGTAAAGTGAGATTTGACCAATATTTCATGATGCACTGTAGCAATTAAGCCTAAAAAATGGGTAATGCTAGGGAGATCATCTATTTGTGTCATATTTGTGTACCAACTGATGTGGCTGTTGAGTTGGCTATGTCACATCATTAAATAAGTTTTTAATATTTTATTATTTTTTTAACTTTCACTTTACAGACTCACTTAAACTACATTAAAATTATTAAAACTTTAAAAAATATCTCCGCTCTCTTCTCCTACCTCCTACCCGGCCAACCCTCTCTCCCTCCTTACTCAACCTCACCCTTCAGCCACCCTTCTACCGTTGCCCATCCTTCCCTCAGCCATACTCTTGTACATGTACCTACCCTCAACCATACACTAGATTTCCCAAACAAACATTGAAAAGTGAATCTCACCTACAGGTATAAGGTTGAAATCTTTTGAACAATCAGAAGGACACTGAGGGCAGGAACCTTTCTCCTTCAAGCTCCAGTGCAAAGATGGACGTATAGTGTACCCAACCAAACACACTGCCACTAAACAAAAACCAGCCTCACAGCACCATTAGTACAAAACCCATGGTCTATCGGATGAGCCATCTATTTCCCACCAACAACAACAACTTTGGTTTGTTTGTTTCCAAATTTTCAGAATGTCCAAGATCAGATATCAAAAACCCATTTCAGGATCTGGTTTACATACTCAGAATATCAATAAAACTCAAAACTTGACTGCACTTGAATGATTTCTAGGAATGTGTGAAATAATGGCAAAAATAAATTAACATTATCTAATCAAGAATGCCCATTTGAAGATCTGGGACCTACAATGAGAATCTAACAAACTCAATGACTGGTGTATGGCTGAGGGAAGGATGGGCGACGGGAGAGGCGTGGCTGAAAGGTGGGATTGAGTAGGGAGAGAGGGTTGGCTGGGTAGGAGGTAGGAGAAGAGAGCGGAGATATTTTTTAAAGTTTTAATAATTTTAATGTGATTTAAATGAGTCTGTAAAGTGAAAGTTAAAAAAATAATAAAATATTAAAAACTCATTTGATGATGTGGCATAGCCAACTCAACAGCCACATCAGTTGGTACACAAATATGGTACAAATAGATGGTCTCCCTACCCTAGCATTTGGCATGCCACATCATTTTCCACATCAGATGGTATACAATTGTGGTACAAAAAATATGGTCTCTCTCGCATTACCCAAAAAAACTCAATCCTAGACATGTATTTATAAAAAAACTCAAGCACTATTTAAACATAGAAACACACCTAAAATCAACCCCAAAGTCAACTTTTTGGGTGTGTTTATAAATGGGTTTTGAGTGTGTGTAATGATGGGTTTTGAGTGTGTTTATATATTTAAATAGTGCTTAGGTTTTTTTTATAATTTCAACCCCTATTTTGGGTGTTTTAGTGAAACTCCCAAAAAAATATATGAGTATGAATCATTGAATTTTATTTTGTTTATAGAAATGAGGAAAGCATTGCACACTCCTCCATGCTGCACGCGTAGCATCATTGGCCCATGATGCATCTTTTTTTCTTCTTCTTGTTCTCCCCTCTGTATTTGTGTCTTCTTCTTCGTCTTTTTTATTTTTATTTTTATTTCTTCTTCTTCTTCTTCTCCATACTAGTGTTTTTTAGTAATCACATAGATGATCAAGTTACATGCGAAGAAATTTATGAAAAAGGAAAAAATTGCTTATTTAGAAAAAGCTTACTTGGTTTGCGACGACGGAATGAAGGGATCCGCAAAAAAGGCCATGGTATATTAAATGGGGTTGGTCCCGTTGGATTACCATTATTGCTTCCAACATTTGCTGCAGATGGAATCCCAGATTCATCATACGTTGAATGACACGGGGTAATATGTCTAATTAACCATATACATATATTTTGACAAAAACAAAACAAAAACAAAAACAAAAATAAAAACAAAAAACAAAAATAAAAACCATATACGTAACACATATATATGGGTGAGAGAGGTGAGAACATGGGGCAATAATGTAAATAAAAATTTAATCCGAAATTTTCTTTACGTACATGTAAACAGCAAATATATGTACATAAAGTTTTCATCCTCCCCTAGCACAAATTTCTCGCCCGCCTGACACACGGAGCAATAGTAAATATGTTTTAAGGCTTTTTAGTTCCAATAGTCCTTGAATTTGTACCCGATTTGCTTTTTCATTTTTCAATGTATAAAATGATTGTAGTAGTCCCCTAACTTCACTTCCGTTAACGGTGTTGGTTCCCCGTTACATTTTCATGTTGTGGGCAGAAAAGTAT